TTCGTTCCTACCCCAGCCGCCGTTCGCGTGGCCCCACCCCTACGTAGCTCTCCCGCGCGCTGTCCCCGTCGACTTTTCTTTCTTCGAGCCTCGAGCAAAGCGGACGGAGCTCCTTTGACGGGAACATCTAATCAAGGATTTCTTCGAGCCCCAGAATCCTACGGCCGGGCCGTGCGCCCGCTCCTCCCCGGTTTCTCTTTCTTCCCGCCGCTTTTCCTTCCACTTTCTTCCTTTCTTTCTCCCCCGGCGCTGAACGGATCGCGCGGCGAACTCTGATCCCGCGGAGATCTCGCGCCGAACAAAGCGAACGGAGAGGCTTCGCGGGACAACGGGGTTTCGATACGAATCGCCTACGCGCTCCGTGTGATTCCGACGTGAACTTCGGAGCTTGATGAACTTGGGGGGCTTTGCTGTAAGATCAATGCTTCGGGATTCGAGTTTTGAATGTGGAACCTGATTCGGACATTCGCTACGTAAAATTGACTATTTGTGTACTTTTGTTTCATCTTCGTCGTAACTATGGAACAAACAACAGCTTGACCTTGCGGAATTAGCGAAATCTCATAAACATTTTCCAGAACATCAAAGAAGCGCGCCAGCGCAGCTTAGGTTCGAGACTTACGCAATCTACAATCATCTACATCGAGATAATTAGTCCAGGATCAAAACAAGTAGCTTCCATTAGACTAAAAGGCTGGCAAGCAAGCGAGCTTAACCATAGTTCATTAACCACCCACGAGCCTCGTTACCCTAGAATTATTAATTCCAAACGAACTGTTCCCTCGAATCCGAAGTTCCGGAAGTACCCTACTTCGACTGGTTCATCGAAGAACAGGTGACACCCAGTGAAATATTTAGCGTACTCCGCCAGCGCGACATCCTCCGAACAGAAACGAAATCTTTTCGTCACGCGCCCAAAAATGACAGTAAAACACTCACCGTCGCTGTCGCGTGAGAAACAGAAGAAGGAATTTCCTATAAATATGCCGACTTTTTTTCCTTGAGCATCAGTTAACAACATCGGCTCGCGTAATCAACAACCACCCAGTCCCAACAATAAACGTAGAAACAAGTATCCAAAATCAACCTCTGTGTTGATGAAATTGTTAGAATTACTGTATTACTTCAACATTGTACTTCAAGTGTGAAATTATATTTTTTTTTTGGTGAAACTAAACAAACCAGTTCAACAACCTTATTACCCTATCACTGTAAGAAGTCGTGGGGTCCGAGCGTGAATCGCGAAGTCGAAACCAGAATCAACGACTAACCTCGTCGCGGACGCGCTCGCGAACACAGATAATTTTATACAACAGTAAGTTGATTCTAATATTCAAGAGTAAATATACATGTACCTATCTAAACCATTTTCCGTACAACAGACATGTTCCGAAAGAAATTCGTTTAGTGGACCTATAGTTTCAGTACTCGGTACGGTCTCCTGAAGGGTTCAGAAATAGATTTTCGTTGCGGAACTCGATGATTCGCGGCGTATAAATCTGCCGCGACGATTAAAATCTGTCGCTCGTCCCACATTCAGCTCCATTCTCGACCCCCCTTAGAGCTCGATGCAAGTAGATCGACTCAACGTATCGACTCAACGTTTCGACTGTTCAGTCGATCTACTTCCTATCATTGTAAGAAGTCGTATGGTCCGAGCGTGAATCGCGAAGTCGAAACCAGAATCAACTAACCTCGTCGCGGATGCGCTCGCGAAATCTTTTCGGAGCGAACGGTTTCCGACGAATAGGAATCGTCGCGGTACCCGTGATTTGCTGCGTTGCGCTAGAGCCAGCGGCCGGGATGAAGGCAACGGGGGACGGAGCTTGCCACCGAACGAGCTTGGCTAACGCGAGAGATCGTGGGGAGCCGTGACGCCAGAGATTACGATAAGCCCTCCCAGCGGCGAGAAACAAATGACGTACTAACTGCATATTAACTGAACTGCCGGGCTATCCGTTGACTCCGCCTCCTGTCCGGGACGCCACGCGAGTACACTACCTACATGCGGGTACACGATCCTACGGGCTACGTCACCGGACTAAACTTTCGCCGCGCGGATCCGCGCGACGCTCCGCTACCACCGCGTAATCGCCTTGTCTTCCACGATGAATCGGAATCCTCGTGCGATGAAAACCGCTATCCGGTCCCGGACACCGATCCCGACACCGCGACCACGGTTCCCCGATACTGTATAGCCTGCACGGCTACCCTGCCGGAGTCCCGGTGATCCCGACCCATCTAGCGATTCCAATTTTATTTGTCTCGCGACGTTAGGGACTGTACCATCCCCCGACCTATCGTACGATCGTTTCGAAGCGGTTTTTAGGAATGCACTGTGCAACGGTGAACTGGAAAAGTTTGACCGTGAGGAAATGGGGACGCGTTTCTGGAGGCGATTTGGTAGATGGAGTAAAAGAGGTTTAACCCTTTGCGGACGAATGTCGACATTCTGTCGAGATGAAACTTTTACATTTAGAACGCCAAGTCGAAAACAAATGACTTAACTAGTCAAACAGCAAGAAAGTGCATAGTTCCCTTATTCTCTATAATTTAAGGATTCAGTCTCTAATTCACCGGAATCTGCAATTAATACTAGGACTACTGGAGTCATGATCCATTCTTGATGTATTCTTGCAATTATTAGAAGACGACAGATGATTTTCTGAGGAATTGTTACATATTGATTGGATACTGGATAGATAGTATTGTGTCGCAGAATATTGAGGTCGAATTGAAGCTATGGCAGTACTAACCCCTGAATTTTGGTATCGAATGTTCGCAACATTATGTAGTAACAGTTTAAGTCGATTCCGCGTTGCAGCTATGCGAACGCATTGGAGTTCTAGTTTCGAAGCTACAATTTTCGCGATTTGTATAGAACATAGTTTCCCAGGAACAATAGAATAAAGTATGTAACAAACATCCTGTTTGAAAGATCGAACGATGTCACGAAAGTAGTTACAAAGCGAAGGAAACACCGGAGCAAGGAAACATTCCTCGAACTTCCGTTCCGACAATGTAAGCGACAACGAGTGATTATCCATTCCCACTGAGTTCAATCGAATCTTTAGAATTTCCCGATGACCGGCAGAACGCGCAAACGTTCATCGAATCCCAGGTCGCATTGGAAAGAGTCCGGCACGCCGGTGGACCGTGTGCGCCAGTGACCGAGCAGCGACTGCTCCCCCGACGACATCTGAAGCCGGGATGCCCCCGTGCTCGCCGATTACCGACGCGGAAACGTATCGGATACGTGGAGAGAGACGAGTATCGCGGTCGCCTCAAAGTTGTCCCATTTTCGTCGGGATCCGTGGTAAACGGAGCGTCGCCGGCTCGTCTCCCAGTACGTGCTTCGAGATTCATGCATGAGAAGAAGCGTCGGCCGCGTTACCGTCTTCCTCCTCGGCTCCGTGGCTCGAGGTATCACCTTCCGCGCGGATCTCGTGCCGGGAAAATTCCAGATGCGTTAAGGAGGGCCGGGTATAACGAGGCCGTAACGAGATCTTGTCAATTTTTCATAACAACCGTCCGAACGAGGGAGAACGGGGGCGCGATCATTTTTCCACGGAGGAAGCGCGAAAGAGGAGCGAGGGGATTTCATTTTAAACAACAAGACGCGTTGGGTGTCAGCGTCCTTTGAATTTTCACGGTAACCGAGGAATATAGGACGTCGGTGTGCAACGCCTTGCAAGCTAAAGTCAAGCTACAGCCGAATACAGGATAGGTCAAGCTGAAATTAATCTGAGACGAAGCTAAATTCTAGTCGAACGAATCGAATTAGCTAAAGTTCTGTACTACACAAGAAGAAGAATCTATCGCTGTTACGCGTCCAAAAATGACAGTAAGACACTCACCGTCGCTGTCGCCTGAGAAACAAAAGAAGGAGTAATCCGAACGGAAATGTATATATTGAATATAACGCGAATAATCCCGCGAGGAAGATCTGAAACGGATGTGATCATTTTTAATCTGGAAAATCCGAAAAACCGAATGAATCCTTCAATAACTAAAAAGCACCATCATTTATCCCACCGAAACCCACAAAAACCAAGAAACATCAGAAGATCCACTTAACCGCATTGTCTTCTAAGCAACTCAATCAACGACACTGCCACTGCTACCTATAATCAACAGCCAATCATCACTGTTACGCGCCGAAAAATGACAGTAAGACACTCACCGTCGCTGTCGCGTGAGAAACAAAAGGAGCCTGTACCCCGGGCTGCCAATCGGTATGCGTGTCCGGCAAAGTCGCACTGATTGGCCGCTCGGTGGATGCTCCTTTTTTCTATAAATATGCCGACTTGTTTTCCTTGAGAGTCAGTTAACCCTTTGTACTCGAGAGGTGACTCTCAGTCACCACTTGATTTGATTTGCAAAATTATGAAGTCTTATATATAATATTAAGCTTTGCACGATGCATCGATACGTGGAATATTGAAATAATATAACTTTCCTTCTTAATTTATATATGTTTTCTCTTTAATTAGCTTCGAAGAACATCCTCTGTATCTCATTTGGAGAATATTGAATATTTCTAATGAAAAACTTTCGAGTGCAAAGAGTTAACATCATCGGCTCGCGTAATCAACAACCACCCAGTCTCAACAAACGTAGAAACAAGCATCCAAAATCAACCTCTGTGTTAATGAAATCGTTAGAATCACTGCATTACTTTAACATTGTACTTTTAAGTGTGAAATCATATTTTTTTTTGGTGAAACAAACCAGTTCAACGCCCTTATTATCCTATCACTGTAAGAAGTAGGGTCCGAGCATGAATCGCGAAGTCGAAAACATGTAACGACTAATCTCGTCGCGGACGGGTTCGCGAACAATTGCATAGAAAGTGTTCGCAATAGTTTCCATAATATTGCTTTCACCACTAGAATCCACATCTACATATATAGAAGCTTATCCGAACGGTTCAGGCATAACAACGTTGAGACCGTTAATCCCGTGGGGCCGCGGGTGCTTAATATAGAGTAAGGCAGGGAGAAGTTTGCCGGTTGAAATTTGCTTTAATAACGCTTTAATAAGAGTACAATCGATTGGGTCGGCGTGCACGTCCGTGGAAGTGTAGCTCGCGGTCCGGTTGCGTGGCTCGGCAGCTGGACAGCGGATGAGAAGCGGGATGCGTCGACCGGGATCGCAACGGTGGTGGCTGTGGTGGTGGCGGTTGCGTCCCGATCGCGTGCCCCGAGCAGCGTCTCGAATAGAGAAAAGTCAGATCCAGAGGTCCCGGCGGCCGGCTTACGCGTCCTCCGTCTTGATCTTCTCGGTTTGGGCGGAAGCGGCGTCGTGCGACGGCTCCGGCTCCCGGATGCCCATCCATTTGCAACGTTTTTGCAGCTCTAGACGATACCTGACCGCGGAGAATGTCAGTGGTGACGGCGTACCAGGGCCAGAAGCCGGGCGACGTGTCAGGGAACAGGAGAATTGATGGTTGATCTTACCTCGGATGATTGATCGCGTATATCCAGGGATCGATGCAGGACACCGTCTTAGCGAACACGGCGGGCAACATCGTGGAGATCGGCGTCAGCAGTTCCCTGGAACGGGTTCAAAGAGCATTATCATCCTGAAACTCGGAAACTGCGAGAAACGACTCGTAAGCGTCACGTTGGATTAGTTACCGGTTGCCGAACGCTCCGATCAGCGCGACCGTCGCGTACGGCGTCCACGCGAGCAGGAACAGGAAGAAGATGGTGAACGCGACCTTCGCGATCCTCATCTCGACGCTCCTTTCTTTGTCTTGGTTCGACACCAGAGATTTCACGTTCATTTTCTTAGCCTGATGGGAGATGTTGAACATTAAGATACGTTATTGGTAGATTCAAGCGTTCGTCGGAAGGATTCAAGGGGAATGTGGACCTGTTCGCGCAGCATCTTCTCGTGATTGCGTATAGACTGGAGCAGCTGCGAGTAAAAGTAGATTATGAAGATTAGAGGTATCACGTAGGACCAGACGAAGATGCTCGAGACGAAGACCTTGGTGTCCTGGTCCTCCGTCAGGAAGTCGAAGGAGCATGTCGTCAGGAAACCCTCTGAAAGTATCTCGATTATGGCAAACTGAAAGCTTCTTTATTCAAATTAAGTGGATCTAACGCGAACGACGATCTGTGGGTTCTCGGGGACGTGTATACTGTAGAGCGCAGTACTGATTACTAAAATTGCACTCCTACAAACTTGGACCTCTTTTCAATTAGTTGCTTATTCAGCGATTTAACCGTCAAAGGTTTAACTCGGATTGTCCGCGAGCTGTCGAGAAAAATTCGTCTCTTTACCGGTGGTGTATCGACCCCAGACCTTCACCAGCGGCATGACGGCGAACGGCGTGGCCCAGAACCACGTGCAGGCGACCAGCACTGCCGCCTGCTTCGAGTTCAGTCTTCCGTCGATCGGGCAGGAAATTGTCCTGCGGGAAAGCGGGAAACTGTAGTTTCAATAGTTTCCCCAGCGAAAATTCTACGTCTTAGATTGCATGTTCTACAACGATTCCATTCGCGTCTCCCCAATTGAATTAACCCTTTGCGGAAGATTCCTTGAAATGTACGAAACCTTCAACAGAAGCTAAATTATCTACCAATTGCATAATAGAAAAAACGGAAACTTCGCATTGGTCTCTTGCTGTTTGAGTGATTCGATCATTCGCGATTTTTTAGTCTTCTTGGTATGAACATTTCATCTCGCGGAAATGACGTTCGTAAAGAGTTAACGAGATGCGATTAATCGATCACGTGAAAATGTACACAATAGAATTGGTTAACTCGGAAGGATTGAAGTATCGATTCGGAATCTGATCGGAACAGTGCACGAGGATTGAACGGGGTTTGGCAACCTGTATCGATCGAAGGCGATGGCAGCGTTGGTGATCGCTTGCCCCATCCCGGATATAGATCCTAGAGTCGCGTAGATGTCGCAGCCCAGCTCCCAACCTATCATACGTTCTAGGAAGCAGTTTATCAGGAACATCGGCATCTCGAACGACATCAGGGTGTCGAACACTGCCAGGCTGACTATAAATATATTCGAAGCTGTTCTCAGCGACTTCGATCTGAAAAAATCCGGTCGGTTGGTTAGCAGTCGTGGTGACTAGATTGCAGATCTCTGCGAATTTATGGAAAATTCGAAAGTGAAAAATTCTGAATGCATACGAAAAGATATGAAATATTTAACTCCTTGGCGTACTATTTACTTTCGCCACTAAGCTCATGTACCATTTTACTATCGACAATTTGGAAGAAATGCAAAATTGTCCATTCTACTTCAAGTGGAAATTTTATTTGAAGATAATACGATGATAATAGCAAAATAGTTGTTCGCTTTGATCAGTGGGTAATGAATAACATCGATTGTTGTTGAATTAGTCTAGAAATCTTTATCACGAATTGTAATTTTCTTTATGGTATTTCCATTCCGTTTCTCTAATTCTATTTCTCTGATTATGTTCTTTAAACGCTGAATTCGCATGATTCATGGCAACTGTTAACGTTGGTCGGTATACAGAACAGGAATAGATTTATAAGAGATTTAGGCTGCCGCTCGAGGGAGGGCACCACCGTGGCAACTACCCCTATTTCCAACCCCTAGTTACGATGCATAAAACTTTACCTTTAATTTTATAATCATAAAAGCATTAAACTATGAACCATGACAGACGGTTTCATTACGTTTCAAACTCTCAAAAAATTTTCGGTTTCTTTATCCAGTAATTCCGACGTGAAATTGTATCGTGATATTCCGAGTAGTGCAAATTACATAACGCTCACATTTACCATGGGGCAAAGCACTTCAGACTATTATTATTCAACTTTAATTGGCTCCGCATTTAATTAGTGCCTGTAGTGGACGTATCATCGGATTAACGGGCTAATCAACTCGCGTCGATTGAAGGAAAATACTATCTCCCATTGCGAGTATTTGGATTCAACCAGTTTATTTCTCTGATGATCGTGTCAGTATTTGTTACCGAGAAGTAATAAGTGATTTTTCGAATGTAACCAAGAGAAAAATCACCGGGGAAAGGATTGTTATTTAGATTGAATCGATTAGAGAGCGCTCACGTGCTAAATATCCATATGACGCATCCGTTCCCAACGATGGACATCATGAACATCATGGTGTAGATCAGCGCCAGTCCCATGTGCCAAAATTTCCCTGGCGCCATGAACCCTCTCCAGTGAGGGTGCACTAGTTCGGAGTGATCCGGAGGCACGTTCCATCCCAGAAACCTCTCTCGCATCGACGGGACATACCTGAATGGTCGAGAAGGAAAAAAGCCTTGAGTACCTCGAACGTCGATCATTGATATCGCGAATATCTGGTTCAAAAGCTGGTTCAGGCACGTCCACAGTAGCAGATCATTGCGCAGTGACTGATACGAAAAAGTATGAAACATCTAAAATTATTTTATCGAGTACCACGATCAACTAATTAAACGTACCCACTAATGTTTCTTTACTCGACTTCATTACCATTCATTAGCATCCAATATCCCGCGATCCCAAAAGCTACGACGTACCAATCCAAACACCTTTACATTCGCTACGATTACCAGTAAGCAGCTAGCTACCAGCCAGCAGATTAAATTATCAAACGCGTCTAAGCCAGCCTGAACGAATCCTCGTCGTCGTCGAAGAGACAGCTATGCCACGCACCCGTTCTCCTCGCCGATGAAAGCCAACGGGCCGTTGACGTAGGTCTCGTTGCGGAGCAGCATCCCGATACGACTCGAAGACACTTGTTTGCGCTGGTACTACGCTCGGTACACGGGAAGCCTTGATCGCTTCGCAACGAATCGAACCGGAAGCGTGACACGAGGGTACGTCGCGCGTCCCGCCTTAACGATGGGAAGAGGTGCGGTTTTTGATCGATCGTTTGCTCCCCGTACACCTCGTGGAAACGTCGATCGGCCGGAGAAAAAAGAAGGGGGGAGACCAGGAGGACGGGTGGAAAAGAAAGAAAAGGAAACTCGGTAACCGAAGCTCACGACCGAAAAGGATCAAAGGTGCGCGATGCACACACACGGTTTTGAAGTGAGACGCGGCACAGAGAGGTCGTGTTACACGTTCCGCAGCTCACTTGACTCGCTCGGACTCGGCCCTTTCCTTTTATACGCCGGCGACGGACGCCTGCGGTCCCGAATGTGGCGTGCCAGTTGAGAGTTTAATTCGATTTGCGATTTACAAATACGAGAAACCCTTAGTTCGGCTGAGGCTAGCCTGTCACGCGATACCGATCTCCAGCCCGTCGGGGCGTCGTCAAAACGCGCTGCCCTTTCGCGAGCATTCTTAATCTGTCATCAAGGCTGACCAGTTACGAAAACGGGTGGTTCGGTGTGCAGATCGCGCCCCCGTTCGCGAAAACAATTGAGGGGACGCAGCGAAAGGGAGAAAAAAATCGGCCGGGCGTCACTCGACGGAATTACGAGGGTCCGTCGCAACCCCCGCGCACGGAATCGATTGGACGGACGCGCGCTGTCAATCTCGTAATCGAGGGCTCGTTTCGTTATCGGTTTAACCGAATAACGCTCTCGAGCCGATCGAAAATTCGGAGAAATTGCGACGCGCGTCGGTCAGCGTCCTGAAATTTCACGCTGGCCGAGCGTCGGACGGCTGCGTCGCATCGTCCCCCCGACGGCCCCGTCGCGTCTCGTTCCGTCTCGTCCCGTCCCGGTCCGTCCCGTTTCGTCTGGCCGCGCGCAGAGAGCCAGCCAGCCAGCCACCCGCTGGTCGCCGGGCCGAAGCCGCGCCGCAAACCATTTTTACACGCGGTCACCATTTGGCGCCGCGCGAAATTCATCTCGGCAAGTGCAGTCGGTATATCGAGGGATTCTGTACCTGGGTCTGGTCCCCGAAGCTGCCGCCGACCACAGCCTTCGCGCATCCGACGGATTAAATCATAAAATTGTCCCGGAACGGCCGCGGAATTCCGCTGATTTACGAGAGCCCGGCGGAACGCTCCTCCTGCCGTTGTCCCCGCGATGCGTTTCGGCGGACCTGAGCCTCCCGTCTGGCGTTACGGGATCGGGGGAATAGTTACGGTCGTTCGGTAGAAAGAGGTGGAGAGGAGGGCCTTACAAATCGGACGAATACGGCGTTAGATCCTGCGCAAGTGTCCCTCGTTTCCTATGAATTTCTTTCATATCCGCTAGACGCTGAGAAACAATACTAAGTTGTAATACTAAAGAAGAATCATTCGCGTCGGTTTCATTTATAATAAATTAGTTTCATTTAAAAACATCTTGAGAGAATTTCTCGAGAAACGAGGAGGGTCGCAGAAGATCCTTTTCCATTTCAACCGAGTCATTATAATTTATTTCTCCCTCGACATAATGGTACGTTCCCTATCGCTTTAACCGTCGCCAGCGGAAGCATCTCTGCCCGCAGCGCGCTGCTCTCCCTATAAACACTCGCATCGAAGTATAACAAGCTAGCAAGCGTAGAGACCTTCGTAGCCAGTCGCGGCGCGTTTTTCACGATTCCACGGATATATTTACGAGCTTTGTTCGCCCGTGTAATTCCCGCGACTTATACTGCGCCGCTGGCATTGTCCGCGGTGAATATCCAGAGGGAAAATTGAATGACAAACAATGGGCCCAACCGAGGCCGATTATGGTAACAATGTGAACGGAGCGCGACCGGTGACGCCGGTGCTCGCTTCCCTTCTCGTGGTATCGACCGCGGCGAGCGATCCTTCTTTCTCGATCTCTCGTCCCTGCTCATCGATCCCATTCCCGTCGCCCCCTTTCCCGCCAACCGTCCCTCTCGTTTCGCTTTCCTCTATTTTCCCCGTTCACGACGCCGTCGTCCCAGCCGGCCGGACCGCAGCGCCGCGATCATAGGCGCTCGCAACGCGACGACACCGCTCCCGATACTCTCGCCGCACGCTTCGGCATCCAGAGTTTCGTCCGGCGACAGAAGCCGTCCATACAGGCAGGAATCCATCGGCCACGGGGACAATGCGTCGTCCCCGCGAAGAGACAAACATTTCTAAGCGCGGCTTCCCTTTGTCCGGCCCGCTACCCCTGTCTTTAGCAGCATCGCATTCAAAGCGGATCGATCGATCCGAGGGATCCCCGCGAATTTCCGCGCGTCCGTGGTACCAGGAGGGTTGCCGCGACCATCGCTGCTCTAATCGGTCCCCCTCGGCCGGCCGATATACCGAGAGAATCGATCGCGAGCAACGAACCAACGCGTAGCGAGGAACGGGACCGCGGTGTGCACGCGTGCACAGCCCGTCCAAAATTCCAGGATAATGCGGCAGCGTCACCGCGCGACAATGGCGTTGTCATTATTTTCACGGTTCGCGGGAACGATGTTTTTTCTGTCCGTCCCGACGCGTTTTCTTTACATCTCCTCGTTCTCGATCGCTGGAGAAGCGTCGCGCCCTCATCGACGAGGTCTCTCCTCGTTATCAGACGCTCGTCTGCGCCCGGCGCAAATCGGGGAAGGCAGGATCGACGGCCGACGGGAACGAAATAGTCGCGAAAATTCGTCGAGATGGGAATCCTGCCGTTTCCGGGTTCGCCCTCCCCGTATCGACGCCGCCAACCCCCGTTTCTGCATTCGGGTTCTCGGAGCTATCGCGTCCCCGTGATTCGCCAGCCTCCTCCTACTCGTCCCCGTTCCCCGCGCCCCACTCGCCCTCTCCGGTACCAACGAACGTCACCGACTCCGAGATATTCTCGTCGTAAACTGTCGCGATAGTCGGCCCGCGAAGCGGCCCGAACGAAGAACAAAGGAATGCAGATTGGAGAGACGGGGATTAACGAGGATTAACGGTAATTGGTCGGTCTGGGGTGGTTGTCGTCGGTTCTCCTCGTCGCTACGGCATCCGCGTCGTTAATGGTACCGGGGTCCTTGTGTTTCTCCTGTTTCTCGCGCTTCCCGGCTCGCTCGCTCGGTTCGCTCGGTCGGTTGTCGCGGGGCACAGCCGCCGCGGCCGCAGTTCCGCTCCGAGGGGCGGCGGATTGACACTTTTTTCCGATTCAAGAGCCGTCGCGATTATTCAAATCGCGTCCCGCGAGGTTCGGGCGCAAACGAGGCTCGCCGCGCGTCGCGACGCGGATCGCCGACCTCGACGAACGAGCGCGAGACGCCGAGACCGGTGTCTCTGCTAGTTCTCGCAGGAGAATTCTTCCCTCGTTACGGCGAAATCAATTCGACCTCCCTGTTAATCGTGCCTCCGTTGCCGCGTCGCGCTCGTACCCCGGTGGGAGCCGGCTCGCGCGATTCCGCGAATAAATCAGAATCACGATCGGCCCCGGGGAGAACGGTAATCGGCGATCTCTTACGCGCCGCTGGATTTACTCGGGATCACGATGTTCGGGGAGTACAAAATCTAGGTGTCTCGATTAGAGGAACATGGAGATACTGGATCATTGAGGGAAGCGTGAAACGAACGGTGCGTGGGAACATTATACAGGAATTTCCTCCAATACAACGTGTAAGCGGAAGTTCGGAAGGGTAGGATGGCTTTTCTCGAGCGAGAATACACTGTGCGATGATTACTTAGTTTATTAAAATGTCTAGGCTGGTCTTGTGTTGAGGGGCGCGTCAACAATTCCGCGAAACCGTTCCCGTGTCTCAATTTTTCGGGCGCTGTGTCGGCTACCGACAGAAATATGACATTTTCGGAAATTAATTTCATTCAACTTCCGAGCGCCCTGTATCGGCTTCCAAAAGGAAGCGCTACGCACGAGAGTCGGCTTTTTAACCCTTTTGTTATTCGGTAGTCTGGTATTCTGTAGTGAAGTGTAATTCTTAGGAAACAAGACTTGAACACGTTTTCGTCGATTAATATTTTCCCATACTTCATTTCATTTCAAACGACACGCTCATCGAGATCTCGATTCATCGCTATCAAGGAAACCGCACGAATTCTTTCCCATTCCTAATGCATACACAATCATCTCTCCACGGTACCCATTTACTCTCGGTGCCTTCTATACTCCCCACATCCGCGCCTTCTGCTGAAATTCGCTGCGCGACCAGTGAACGCGTCACCGCAAGTAGGTCAACGAAGCATTCCTCGCTGCTGTCGCGGCCAATAACGCATCTCCAAACGATCTTCCCGGTCCCCGGAATCAATTTCCCCCCGTCGTGATCACAGCACTTTCCCCTTCGTCGATCGCGCACTTGCCCCCAATTATTTTCGCACGGGGAGGCGCGAAACGGGAGCGCGAAGTGTGGCGCGCCGGGAAAGGGAATTCACCGGAACGAGAAGTTCCGTCGTCTCGCGTACAATAAACCGTATTATCCCCGTCGCGCTCGTCCCGATCCCCGTCCCCTGCTTTCCCCTGATACCCGCGCGCGCCGGATGTAGACGAGTTATCTGCCGGTCTCGCGGGCGAGGAGAATCTCCTCGCGCTCTTTGTTTCCGGCGCAGATCGACCGCGTATACGACGGGACATTAGAGGCTCGCGCGATAACGTACCGCGGCCGCGTCCCGGAAAAAAGATCGCCGCGGGGATACGATATCGTCTCGTAAAAGCCACAGACACATATTTTACGTGCGTCCCGTAAAATTATGCGGACACGACGGCGGCGCCGCGACGCGCGATGCCGATCCGATATCGCCGGCTGGTCGCGCGGGATGCTTGAACGGATTCTACCGACGAACATTCGGTAGACGCGCTTCGGGAGAGATACGCGGAAGATAGTCTGGGAATAGTAATATTCGGTTGTCCATTGAATTCCTGATTTCGTTTCGTGGAGAAGATCCGACGGTGATAGATGCCTCGGGACGCCGCTTCCACGGTCGCGGACGAGGAGCGGAGAGCCGTCGTGATTAATTGTGGTCGCTTCGCGCGAACGAACGGGAGGGAAGTTTGTCATCGGTATTCAAGCGTACGATCTTAGCTTTGATTTGATGCGCCGGAAGTTGAACCAGTCTCGAATTGAACGGCTCAAACGTCTGATCCACGGAGAGAGGTTCACTTGGGTTTTCCGCGCACTTTTGGATCGCTCGCGATTTTCAACATGTCAACGTGAATCTATTTGCATGGGGCACTTGTACGTTGGAGTATATACTCCGAGCTTCAATTTTATTACCAGAGGTTGAAAGAGCTTCGAGTTAAACGTGTCGAAAATAGGATCG